CAAACTGAGTCCTGTGAGCTATATCTGGCCCTCTACAAGATTTTATCCACCCCGCAGGGTCAGTGGAGTATTCTCAATGTGTACAGACTGATGATTCAGGTCAGCAGAGGCTTGCATTGTGCTTGGATCTGAGCTTTAAAAATGGTTTTAAATTAAGTCACAGACAGTCCTACAACTAGTGTTTTCAGATGGAGGTCTGCAAAGGCGAACTCCATTTTTTTAATTGCAGGCCTCCTTTAAAAAATAGAATACACCTATGCCGTTTGTCAGCGCATTTATGTATGTGATGGCACGGCAGATACGGTCTTTCATAGAAGGTGAGCTTTTATGCTCCCTTTGTTCTGTGTCCCCATACATCTGCTCTAGGTTTCATCCATCCAGGTTCTGCCACAATAGAGCTCATTCTTATCTGCGGATGTATTGACAGACAAATTCTTGGAAATGGTGCCTAGTTGGGAGCTCACAACAGACGTTATGCATGTCTGATTCAGGCACCTGCTTGCCTCCTCTGCTCCCCAGCAATTTGACTGTAAAATTGGCAAGGCCTGAGATTGGATATTATCTCCAGTAAATGGAAGAAAGAATTCTTGAATGGCTTGTGCTGTCAGCCCAAAGATTCCAGGAACTTTGGATACATTTCAGAACTCAGGTCTAGAGTGGGCAGACAAATGCTGTCCTTATAAGCTCTTTACTCACAGTTTACAAAACCTGCCTTTTATTTTGCTCACGTCAGGAAACAATCCCATCAAACATGATTTTATATTTTAACTCATTTAGGGTGTCTCTATTATTCACCCAGGCATTGGTCTTGTGCACCTGGCTCCCTCTGTTGATAAATCTTTATTCCTGTTGGTAGTCTCTGCTTCTGAACGTCCCTTTATTGGTAGGCAAGTGTGTTCCATGACCGCTCTCTATGAGCCCATGGGAGATGCTAAATGTTTCATTTCATTCATTCATGTAGTGTATTATAGGCAAAATCATTGTGTATGACTCCTGGTAGTTGTGTGAGTCATGTGAACAAGGTCAGGTTATTGCTGGTCAGCTGAATGACTCAACGGGTTGTGGCTCTGTTGCCTCCTCCTGACTCTGGAGGACCATAGGACCTTCCAGAAGTCAGTCAGCAGGAAGGGGTGGAGACTCGATCTGCATGTTCATGGATGTCCGGCCAATCCCAGGTTTGGAGGCTCTGGTGGACTGGCCCATAAATATGGAGAGTCGGGCTGACAGGGGGTTGGGTGGAAGGTGGAGTGCTGAGGAGACTGTCGGTGCCTAAGAGGGGGGCGGCCTCCAGGCTGGCTTTGGAGGATACATTCAGTGGAGAGGCATGAATCGGATAAAGGCCTGCAGCAGCAGGGAGCAAAGAGTCATGTGAACAAGGTCAGGTTATTGATGGTCAGCTGAATGACTCAACGGGTTGTAGCTCTGTTGCCTCCTCCTGACTCTGGAGGACCATAGGACCTTCCAGAAGTCAGTCAGCAGGAAGGGGTGGAGACCCAATCTGCATGTTCATGGATGTCCGGCCAATCCCAGGTTTGGAGGCACTGGTGGACTGGCCCATAAATATGGAGAGTCAGGGTGACAGGGTCGGGTGGAAGATGGAGTGCTGAGGAGACTGTTGGTGCCTAAGAGGGGGGGCGGCCTCCAGGCTGGCTTTGGAGGATACATTCAGTGGAGAGGCATGAATCGGATAAAGGCCTGCAGCTGCAGGGAGCAAAGAAGACAGTGTGAGTACAACAGCACACTCTGGGATCTACAAGGGGAAAGACTGGCACACACGTAACACGCTTTCTAAAGACAACACTGGGCTCAATCCTTAATCCTTGTCCTGGGAGATCTTCTGAGAAGCCAGGAGGTCTAGTAGAGCTTGCAGGCTGTGGAGCTGGGATCAGCTCCGTAGGGGGAGAGAAGATCTCTCTGCATATAGCTACGAGAAGTAAAGTGATTTTTGAGGGGCTGCTATTTCCTCGCCCATAAAGGACAGCTGCTACTGATCTGTTATGACTGGCAGCTTTCAGGAAAAGAACAGTTCAAGATCTGCCTTTGTAAATAAAAGGGAAGTGTCCCCCTTCCATTGTTTCAAGCCAAACTGGGCATCCTATAATTCCTATTCCCCACCCGAGTTGATTTCCCCTATTAAAACAACAAAACCAAGCCCATGGACTGATCATTGTCTCAGGAAGCAAGTTGGTGTGAGATATACCTGTTACCTGGCTGCTGTGCGCAGAGAGAGGTTTAGGGATACCCACAACACAGCGGCCCTCACGAGTGTAACGCTACAAACTGTTCACACAGGCAGATGTCAGGAATGGACTGGTCAGCAATAGTGGGACTCAGCTGCCTTATGAGCTGCAGTACCAGGGCTGGCCAGCGGGTGCTCCCAGCAATCAGAGACTCAACCTTGCAGCCAGTCAAACACCTGGAACTAATTATACTGGTGTATTTAAGGGACATTCAGACCTGCAGACTCTGCCTTGGTGTTGTGTTTCTCCTGGGCCCTGTATCCTGTTCCTACTCCCTGTTCCCTGTTCCTGTCTGATTCTCTGCTGACCTTGCTCTGATCCCTGGCTTGTCTGACCATTCTCCTGCTCCTGATCCCTGGCTTGTCTGACCATTCTCCTCTGCCTGACCCTCTGTACCACGCTGCCCACTACCTGCTGAACCTGGCTTGTGACTCCGACCATTCTCCGCTTGCTCCCCCTGTACCTACCTGCCCGATTGATATTGACCCGGCCTGCCTAATGACGCTTGCATTGTATGTACTGTTATCTGTGGGTGGTTGGTTTGGTTTGTTTGCACTGTGTTATGTTTTAGTATTGCACTGCGTTCATGTTTGTATTGTTAGTGTTAATAAATTACATTGTTTATAACATATCTAAAGTCTGCGTTTCCCTGCGTCAGTCACACACCTCTGGTCATACCCGGGAGCCCTGACATTACACCAAGGCCAATCCTGACCAGAAGTGGCTGCACAGGGAAGCCATCTTGGTTTGTTGATGGGAAGGATGGATCTGGATGAGGTTGCGTATTTATATCTGCTAGTGTTTGATGACAGGGAGTATGCTTATCAAACTCTGAAGGAATATACCCGGGTTGAACTGCTAGAATGTATACGGCTCGCTCATGTTCTAGTAGATCAGGGCACAGAGTTCTCTGAGGTGCAGCCATTGATTGAGGTTTGTGCTGAGTTGGTTTCATCTGGTACCCCCCCGAATGCAGGGATGAATTTTTGCCACCATTTAGTGCAGACCAGGTAGAGTCCCTGGTGTGGTTATTAGAGGATGATGTGGATTACTTTCTGGAGCGTTATTCCACATGTTCACCACAGGTACTAAGAGATTGTATAAACGCAGTGCAGTCATTGGTCAGACAGGCTTTGTGTAAGCTCAGCTTTGTTCAACCCATACTGCAGACATGGACAGACTTGTTGCACCCAGCCTCAGTCAGCTTACAAAGACCCAGTCCTGCTTCTAATCTATTTCCTCAAAACTCTATTCCTGCATTCCCAACAGCTCCTCCTGCCCTGCTATCTACCGCATGTCAGTACCCTGTTCCCACTCGCTGCACCTATCCTGCCTTTAACCCTGTAAAAAACCCCTCTGTAGCAACTGCTCCCTCTCCTGTTCCATCCTCCAGTTCTTCTCTGTCTCCAGCTGCTCCATTCGTTTGCAGACCTGCGTTTACTTGCAGTGCTCCAGTAGTTAAAACCAGAAAAAAGCGAAAATTCTTTCCAACCAGTACCATCCTGCCAGTATCCAAACCGGTGAGCCTACCGTCTGAGAACCGGCCTTCCGTGGTTCAGCCTGAAGCCTCTACTCAGCCTGAATCCTCTACTCAGCCTGATGCCTGTACGCAGCCTGATGCCTCTACTCGGCCTGATGCCTCTCTACTCGGCCTGAAGCCTCTACTCGGCCTGAAGCCTCTACTCGGCCTGATGCCTCTACTCGGCCTGATGCCTCTACTCTGCCTGAAGCCTCTACTCAGCCTGAAGCCTCTACTCAGCCTGAAGCCTCTACTCAGCCGGACGCCTGCATTCAGCCTGATGCCTCGACCCAGCATGATGAACTGATCCAGCCTGACGATCCTATTAGGCCAGTTGACTCGATGCCCGCTGTTGATCCAGACAATCCGGTACCTGATGACCCAGTGCCCGCTGTCGTGCCAATTGAGTCAGAGCCCACTGTCGTGCCTGGTGATTCGGTGCCCGCAGTCTTGCCAGACAACTCGATGCCTGCTGTTCCGCCAGACGACTCGGTGCCCGCAGTCTTGCCAGATGACTCGGTGCCCGCAGTCTTGCCAGACGACTCGGTGCCCGCAGTCTTGCCAGACGACTCGGTGCCCACAGTCTTGCCAGACGACTCGGTGCCCGCTGTTCCGCCAGTTGACTCGATGCCCGCTGTTCCGCCAGACGACTCGGTGCCCGCAGTCTTGCCAGACGACTCGGTGCCCGCAGTCTTGCCAGACGACTCGGTGCCCGCAATCTTGCCAGACGACTCGGTGCCCGCAGTCTTGCCAGACGACTCGGTGCCCGCTGTTCTGCCTGCCAGTTGACTCGGTGCCCGCAGTCTTGCCAGACGACTCGGTGCCTGCAGTCTTGCCAGACGACTCGGTGCCCGCAGTCTTGCCAGACGACTCGGTGCCCGCTGTTCCGCCAGTTGACTCGATGCCCGCTGTTCCGCCAGACGACTCGGTGCCCGCAGTCTTGCCAGACGACTCGGTGCCCGCAGTCTTGCCAGACGACTCGGTGCCCGCAGTCTTGCCAGACGACTCGGTGCCCGCTGTTCCGCCAGTTGACTCGATGCCCGCTGTTCCGCCAGATGACTCGGTGCCCGCAGTCTTGCCAGACGACTCGGTGCCCGCAGTCTTGCCAGACGACTCGAAGACCCGCCCGCTGTTCCGCCAGTTGACTCGGTGCCCGCAGTCTTGCCAGACGACTCGGTGCCCGCAGTCTTGCCAGACGACTCGGTGCCCGCAGTCTTGCCAGACGACTCGGTGCCCGCAGTCTTGCCAGACGACTCGAAGCCCGCTGTTCCGCCAGTTGGCTCGGTGCCCGCAGTCTTGCCAGTTGACTCGGTGCCCGCAGTCTGGCCAGTTGACTCAGAGCCCACTGTCATGCCTGGTGACTCGGTGCCCGCCGCTCCGCCTGGGGGCCCAAGACCTGTCGCTCCGCCTGGGGGTCCGGCGCCCGCCGCTCCGCCTGGGGGCCTGAGACCTGCCGCTCCGCCTGGGGGCCTGAGACCTGTCGCTCCGCCTGGGGGCCTGAGACCTGTCGCTCCACCTGGGGGCCTGAGACCTGTCGCTCCGCCTGGGGGCCTGAGGCCTGTCGCTCCGCCTGGGGGTCCGGCGCCCCGCCGCTCCGCCTGGGGGCCCGAGACCTGTCGCTCCGCTGGGGGTCCGGCGCCCGCCGCTCCGCCTGGGGGCCCGAGACCTGTCGCTCCGCCTGGGGGTCCGGCGCCCGCCGCTCCGCCTGGGGGCCCGAGACCTGTCGCTCCGCCTGGGGGTCCGGCGCCTGCCGCTCCGCCTGGGGGCCCGATGCCGGTCGCCCCGCCTGGGGCCCGATGCCTGTCGCCCCGCCTGGGGGCCCGATGCCTGTCGCCCCTCCTGGGGGCCCGATGCCTGTCGCCCCGCCTGGGGCCCGATGCCTGTCGCCCCGCCTGGGGGCCCGATGCCTGTCGCCCCGCCGGGGGGCCCGATGCCTGTCGCCCCGCTTGGGGGCCCGATGCCTGTCGCCCTGCCTGGGGGGGGGCCGATGCCTGTCGCCCCTCCTGGAGGCCCGGTGCCCGCCGCTCCGCTTGGGGGCCCGATGCCTGTCGCCCCTCCGGGGGGCCCGGCGCCCGCCGCTCCGCTTGGGGGGCCCGATGCCTGTCGCCCCGCCTGGGAGCCGATGCCTGTCGTCCCTCCTGGGGGCCCGGCGCCCGCCGCTCCGCTTGGGGGCCCAGTGCCTGCTGCTGCTCCGCCCAGTGGCCCGCTGCCTGCTGCTCTGCCCGGTGGCCCGCTGCCTGCTGCTCCACCTGGTGGCCCGGTGCCTGCTGCTCCACCCGGTGGCCCGGTGCCTGCTGCTTCGCCTGGTAATCCGATGTGCCTCTGCCCGGAGTCCGGCCCGATGTGCCTCTGCCCGGAGTCCAGCCCGATGTGCCTCTGCCCGGAGTCCAGCCCGATGTGCCTCTGCCCGGAGTCCAGCCCGATGTGCCTCTGCCCGGAGTTCAGCCCGATGTGCCTCTGCCCGGAGTCCAGCCCGATGTGCCTCTGCCCGGAGTCCAGCCCGATGTGCCTCTGCACGGAGTCCAGCCCGATGTGCCTCTGCCCGGAGTGCCTCTGCCCGGTGTGCCACTGCCCGGAGTGCCTCTGCCCGGAATCCAGCCCGATGTGCCTCTGCCCGGAGTCCAGCCCGATGTGCCTCTGCCCGGAGTCCTGCCCGATGTGCCTCTGCCCAGTGTGCCGCTGCCCGGAGTCCTGCCCGGTGTGCCAGTCTTTGATATCCCGCCAGTTACCAGACCCGGGCGGTGGAACATTTTGCCCAGCTAGGACTGTTTGGAGCGTCCTGAGGCCGCTCCTTGAGGGGGGGGGGTACTGTCAGGAATGGACTGGCCAGCAATAGTGGGACTCAGCTGCCTTATGAGCTGCAGTACCAGGGCTGGCCAGTGGGTGCTCCCAGCAATCAGAGACTCAACCTTGCAGCCAGTCAAACACCTGGAACTAATTATACTGGTGTATTTAAGGGACATTCAGACCTGCAGACTCTGCCTTGGTGTTGTGTTTCTCTTGGGCCCTGTATCCTGTTCCTGCTCCCTGTTCCCTGTTCCTGTCTGATTCTCTGCTGACCCTGCTCTGATCCCTGGCTTGTCTGACCATTCTCCTGCTCCTGATCCCTGGCTTGTCTGACCATTCTCCTCTGTCTGACCCTCTGTACCACGCTGCCCGCTACCTGCTGAACCTGGCTTGTGACTCCGACCATTCTCCGCTTGCTCCCCTTGTACCTACCTGCCCGATTGATATTGACCCGGCCTGCCTAACGACGCTTGCATTGTATGTACTGTTATCTGTGGGTGGTTGGTTTGGTTTGTTTGCACTGTGTTATGTTTTAGTATTGCACTGCGTTTATGTTTGTATTGTTAGTGTTAATATAATTACATTGTTTATAACATATCTAAAGTCTGCGTTTCCCTGCGTCAGTCACACACCTCTGGTTATACCCGGGAGCCCTGACAGCAGAACACAGACACTTCTGTAACACTGTGCATTGTTACTGTATTGCAGATCTTTATTTTGACCACAAGATGGCAGTGTTCAACAACTTTGTTCATCACAAGTGCCAATACAGGAGTGCAGAGACCGCTGGAACTTGTATGCCGGAAGCAGAATCTTTTCCTACAGCTTAGCTGAGATCAAACTACACAGCCCAGGAGCAATTGCAGGGGGCGGAAGCATATAAAAGAAAAAGCCTTGGAACATGAGGGGGAGGGATAGAGAGACTTGGCTGCTGTACGGATGCATGTGGGAACCACGTGCCAGAAAGCCACAAGTGCCATCTGATGCTAGGTGACCTGAGAAGGCAGACTGGTGGAGAACTGCTCATTGCTGGATCGGGAGGTCTTCATCATCATCATCACAGCCACTTACCAGGGGGCCTCCAGCCAGATGTTCATATTAATGCTCTGCTTTGCATAAGGACCTTGTGAGAGGGTTGCTAGCCCACTTTTCACTACTCTTGCTGCAAATGCGTTTGCTATTCAAGCCAGGGCACTGTATAGTACAAGCCTCTGCAATCAATACAGCTTCCATAATCCATCTACTGCTAGAGTCTGCCATTCCTATGTAATCTGCCCATGTGCCAGAGCACATCCATTGATGCAGTCTATCCTTCCTAACCGCAAATACTGCCTGCAGGTTATCTGAATGAATTAACCCGGCCATCCCCTGCTAGGCAGAACTCTGTATTTACTTTAACACAAGTTTAAGCCATCTAAGGGAAAGGATTAGCCACTCGACTTCTCTATGTAAAGGGACATACTCTTAAACTGACTTGTCAGCAAAAAAAAAACACAAAAACAAGAAAAAAAAACAACCAACAAAGTGACTCTTGTTACAAGTCAATATTCTTTAAGTGACCTTTTTCTCCTATTTCACAAAGTAAGGAGAACTCTGCCAATTACTTTACCTTCTTCACTGTGTGCCAACGTAAAGGCCCCAACTAAACCGGCAGAAGAACCCAATACATAGCTTATGTATTGGCGGGGGAAGCACTACACTTCAATCCATGCCTGAGCACAGAGGCTATATGCATAGCCAGTGAGAAAATACACTTCACCCACAGCCAGAGTACACACACACAGGCCCTACACACACAGGCGGAGCACAATTAGATATTGCACACACAGCCAGAACATACATGGACACTGCATACACAGCCACATAAAACACTGACACATCACACACAAGCAGATAACACAAAGATCCTACACACACTGGCAGAGCACACGCAGATATTACACACACAGACTTAGCACACATACAATGCATGCACATCCAGATCATATACAGATGCTGCACTCACAACACGCAGACACTTCATACAGAGCAAATTAACATGCAGAGACTGCACACCAATAGGCAGAGCAGCGCACACACCAATACTACACACAGGCAGAGCACACAAATACTACACACAGGCAGAGCACACACAGCAGAGCACACACAAATACTGCACACACAGGCAGAGCACACACAAATACTGCACACATAGGCAGAGCACACACAAATACTGCACACGTAGGCAGAGCACACACAAATACTGCACACATAGGCAGAGCACACACAAATACTGCACATACAGGCAGAGCACACACAAATACTGCACATACAGGCAGAGCACACCCAAATACTGTACACGCAGGCAGAGCACACACCCAAATACTGCACATACAGGCAGAGCACACACAAATACTGTACACGCAGGCAGAGCAGAGCACACATGCAGTAAATACTGCACACATAGGCAGAGCACACACCAATACTGCACACACAGACAGAACACACACAAATACTACGTGCACAGGCAGAGCACACACACAAATACTGCGCGCACAGGCAGAGCACACAAAATACCACAAAGGCACCCACACACACAGGCAGAGCACACACAAATACTGCACACACAGGCAGAGCACACACCCAATACTGCACAGATAGGCAGAGCACACACACAAATATTGCACACACAGGCAGAACACATAAATACTACACACAGGCAGAGCACACACAAATACTGCACACGCAGGCAGAGCACACACAAATACTGCACAGATAGGCAGCGCACACACAAATATTGAACACACAGGCAGAACACACACAAATATTGCACACACAGGAAGAACACACAAATACTACACACAGGCAGAGCACACACAAATACTGCACACAGGCAGAGCACACACAAATACTGCACACAGGCAGAGCACAGCGCTGCACTTCTGGCACCGGTATCTTTAGTGTGGGCACCCGGCTGTGACAGATGACAGGTCCCAGAAGACGCTGGACCATTCACAAAGCGCAGCACTTCTCGGGCATGCGCAGTGGGCACCCGGCTGTCACAGCCGGGTGCCCACACTAAAGGGAGGACAACTCCGCGTAAGTGGGAGAGGGTACCTGTCAAATTCAGGCATCCGCTCCCCCTCCCTCCCCAAGGTCCGCAGTCTCTGGTCATCTCCTGTACTGTGTCCGCAGTCTCTGGTCATCTCCTGTACTGTGTCCGCAGTCCCTGGTCATCCCTGTACTGTGTCCGCAGTCTCTGGTCATCTCCTGTACTGTGTCCGCCTGTCTCTGGTCATCTCCTGTACTGTGTCCGCAGTCTCTGGTCATCTCCTGTACTGTGTCCGCCGTCTCTGGTCATCTCCTGTACTGTGTCCGCAGTCTCTGGTCATCTCCTGTACTGTGTCCGCAGTCTCTGGTCATCTCCTGTACTGTGTCCGCAGTCTCTGGTCATCTCCTGTACTGTGTCCGCAGTCTCTGGTCATCTCCTGTACTGTGTCCGCAGTCTCTGGTCATCTCCTGTACTGTGTCCGCAGTCTCTGGTCATCTCCTGTACTGTGTCCGTCCGCCGTCTTTGGTCATCTCCTGTACTGTGTCCGCCGTCTCTGGTCATCTCCTGTACTGTGTCCGCAGTCTCTGTCATCTCCTGTACTGTGTCCGCAGTCTCTCTGGTCATCTCCTGTACTGTGTCCGCAGTCTCTGGTCATCTCCTGTACTGTGTCCGCAGTCTCTGGTCATCTCCTGTACTGTGTCCGCAGTCTCTCTGGTCATCTCCTGTACTGTGTCCGCAGTCTCTGGTCATCTCCTGTACTGTGTCCGCAGTCTCTGGTCATCTCCTGTACTGTGTCCGCAGTCTCTGTCATCTCCTGTACTGTGTCCGCAGTCTCTGGTCATCTCCTGTACTGTGTCCGCAGTCTCTGGTCATCTCCTGTACTGTGTCCGCAGTCTCTGGTCATCTCCTGTACTGTGTCCGCAGTCTCTGGTCATCTCCTGTACTATGTCCGCAGTCTCTGGTCATCTCCTGTACTGTGTCCGCAGTCTCTGGTCATCTCCTGTACTGTGTCCGCAGTCTCTGGTCATCTCCTGTACTGTGTCCGCAGTCTCTGGTCATCTCCTGTACTGTGTCCGCAGTCTCTGGTCATCTCCTGTACTGTGTCCGCAGTCTCTGGTCATCTCCTGTACTGTGTCCGCAGTCTCTGGTCATCTCTGTACTGTGTCTGCAGTCTCTGGTCATCTCCTGTACTGTGTCCGCAGTCTCTGGTCATCTCCTGTACTGTGTCCGCAGTCTCTGGTCATCTCCTGTACTGTGTGTCCTCAGTCTCTGGTCATCTCCTGTACTGTGTCCGCAGTCTCTGGTCATCTCCTGTACTGTGTCCGCAGTCCCTGGTCATCTCTTGTACTATGTCCGCAGTCTCTGGTCATCTCCTGTACTGTGTCCGCCAGTCTCTGGTCATCTCCTGTACTGTGTCCGCAGTCTCTGGTCATCTCCTGTACTGTGTCCGCAGTCTCTGGTCATCTCCTGTACTGTGTCTGCAGTCTCTGGTCATCTCCTGTACTGTGTCCCGCAGTCTCTGGTCATCTCCTGTACTGTGTCCGCAGTCTCTGATCATCTCCTGTACTGTGTCTGCAGTCTCTGGTCATCTCCTGTACTGTGTCCGCAGTCTCTGGTCATCTCCTGTACTGTGTCCGCAGTCTCTGGTCATCTCCTGTACTGTGTCCGCAGTCCCTGGTCATCTCCTGTACTGTGTCTGCTGTCTCTGGTCATCTCCTGTACTGTGTCTGCCGTCTCTTGTCATCTCCTGTACTATGTCCACAGCCTCTGATCATCTCCTGTACTGTGTTCGCAGTCTCTGGTCATCTTCTGTACAATCTGCAGTCTCTGGTCATCTCCTGTACTGTGTTCGCTGTCTCTGCTCATCTCCTGTACTATGTCCACAGTCTCTCATCTCCTGTACAATCTGCAGTCTCTGGTCATCTCCTGTACAATCTGCAGTCTCTGGTCATCTCCTGTACTGTGTTCGCAGTCTCTGGTCATCTCCTGTACAATCTGCAGTCTCTGGTCATCTCCTGTACTATGTCTGCAGTCCTCCGGTCATCTCCTGTACTGTGTCCGCAGTCTCTGGTCATCTCCTGTACTATGCCTGCAGTCCATTGGTTTCAGAATATTTTTTTCAGAATTTTTTCTTGTTTTCCGACTCAAAAACCTAGGTGCGTCTTATGGAGCGAAAAATACGGTACATGCACAGGCAGAGTGAACACACAATAGATAATACAAATGATACAAGTGGCATAATTATTTAGATGTGTCTAGGGCAGCACTATGTCTAAATACAGAACTAGCAGAGCTTTATTTCTTAGCACTTGTGAACTATTGTCTAGGGCAATAGGGTTAGAGAGGGAAGCACCAAGCCAGTAGTTACTTACAAATCATCACCTTTTCCTTATCCACCTCCAGGCATTTGTGGATAAATTCAGCAAATGTGCTATAATGGGAAGAGGGTCCAAAAAAACCAGAGCAGTAAAGACTCTCTATAGCTCAGGGAACATGAACCCTTTTGTCCCTTTTGTCCTTTGGTCTGCAGAATGAAAAGTAAACCCCTTTATAAATCAGACATCAGGCTACCTCCAGTAATAAAATTTTTGCATAGTCTTTATTTTTTTACCAAAATAATCAAACAACACACGGGCATGGAGCTTATAAAAAAGGTGCCGGGCATACTGGCGTGGTCAGGAACTGAGCGCAGGCAAGTATATGTACACCATTGTTTTCTACTCTTCTTGATGAATCTATTTGACAATGTTATTAGTAAAGGGAAAGTCTGATCAATGTGGGAGGCTTTCGGAGAAAAACAAATTCATTTTCACACTGTTACATTTGAGGAAATGTGTATGCTACAACATTTTCTCTCCCCCGTCGTCCCTATGAGGATAACAAACCATTAAGTTTGTCTTTGAATTGTTATGTAACATTTCAGATATTCTGGCAGTTCAAAGTCTTTCTAAGAGACTGTCCATTTTATATCATTGATTTCCTCTTCTATCCGCTGGCAAAGGCATTAGAGTGAATCATTGCTAACAAAGGTGCTCTTTTCCAACATGCAGCTGGACCAGAAAGAACATCTAAGGATTTTCTATCAAAGAAAACACACAGTTGGCATTTGATGGAAACAGACAGACATCACTGTGCCATAAATGTAAATACAAGTGCTATAACATAGACTAATACACGTTTAAGGCCCGATTATTTTTAGGAAAGTGACTGATCCCAACAATCTCTAGAGAGAAAGGGTCAGTTTCACCAAGAACAGTTTTAAAATGGCACTTTCACTCTTCCCTAGCAATTCCTACAATGGAGTTCTTTCCACCCTACCTTCACTACATTGGTAAATTCTTTTTGTAAAGCCATTTTCTTTTTTCCCCAAAACATTCTGGAGCTTCTGCCTTTCTCACCTTGGAAAGAATAATGTAGCGCAAGCCAGCAGCGCATCCTCCTTGGATATCCACCATCACGCATTGCCAGGCTCTGGGCAATGAGCGCATGGGCCCAGAATTATTCAGCACACTGTGCATGCATTATAACATAACGTCATCAGGGGGTATCAGAAAGAGATAGCTGGCTCCTTACTGACATTGGAAGGCAAAAGCTATGGTCTCTTTTGGATCCCAGCATGGACAGCAGACGATGCAGGATTTGCTGGGCTGCCGAGAATGTTTTTAAAGACAAGTGAGTGGACAAGGTACAACTGGATTGCAATAAGGGGGCAGTTAAGTTCCTTCTTTAAACAATCCAATAAACCAAGTTCATATTGTTTGGGGTTTGGTAGATGCCCATCTTTCTGGGATTCCATTGGTGACATCTCTATGTTTTCAGTTCCTGAGTATGCATTCCTGCTGTGGGGGGGGGGGGAGGGGGGTTTCTCCATATTCCCTTTCTTGGGATTGTTAATTATTATTGTATTATGGAGATTCAACAGGGATGGTGCTGGACAATGCCACGGTGGGCAGATCACCCAAAACACAATAGTACACAGATGACCGCATTTATGACCTTTAAACAGCAAAACCCTTCATGGGGAAAAAGAGTAATCCACAGAGGAAGCCAGAGTGTCAAAGTTTAATTTTCTAAATCTGGCTTTCTCTCTGTAATAGGTTTTTACAATCTATCCCAACCCCTTTTAGAGCACCAAAACTTTCTAATATGTTTGGAAAACCCTAACAACCCATTCAATTTTTTTTTTAAAGAAAAATTTTTCGAAATGATTTATTTTTAGATAGTCCGTAGGCCTTGGACCTGTAAACTTGTTTTATCCCATACCTAACTAATCCCCCCTGGGAGTGGGAATCACTGTAATGGGAAGTATACTTTAATTATCCCCACTTGCTTTGGGGGTCCCATGCGTTTGGGGCAAACCCTCATGAAAATTTAAAACACAGAAAACCCTTTTCCCCGGGAATGGGTACATGTAGAGAATGTTTTTGTGTTTTCTAAATTGAATGCAAGGGGAATGTCACCAGCACAGGGGATCACCAATTGGGTCCAAAAATTTTTAAAAGAACGAAAATATTTACAGCAAAGGAAATTTTGGAAATCTCGCAGGACCCTTCTTAGGCATGTGACCTGATGAAGGGGGGCCTGCGAGACTCAGAAAAAATTGCCTTTTCTGTAAAAAATGTGATCATTCTTTTAAAAATTTTTTGGGGCTTTATATTTTGGGGATCCTCGGGTTTTTTGTGGGTGGGAAATTTTCCCTTGTTGATTTTGTTTTAGTTCCAGCCGACGGTTGTACAGGCACCATTATAAACACAAAACCTTTTTAATACGGGGAAAATGTGCGTTTTGGGTTGTAAACTTGGGATTCTGATGAATGCAAAACCCACTTTTGAATTTGGGCAAAGGGGGGAGGGTGGGGCAATGAATCTTTCTCTAGAGAATTGCAGCCCCAGAAAATAGACAGGGCCTTGTTTAGTACTGTGCCCCCGTGTTTGAGGGGCTCTGATCGGGGTTTTTTCTACGCTGTGTAGTTAGCTGAGAGAAACTTGGGTTTAGGAAAAGGCGGGTGCTGGGAGACACCCCCGGAAGAAAAAATATAAATTTTAAAATAAAATTTTAAAAATATTTCTTCCCAAAAAAAATTGGCATACATTTTAAATTTCTAAATTTTTGGCCCCCTTAAATATTCAAAATATAAATTTTAATTTAAAAAATTTTATCTGTATTTTACTGTATGTTTAAATTTTTGTTTTTATTACAAAATTATGGGAAAAAATTTTTTTAAAAAAACATTTCAAATATACTGTATGTTTTTTAAAAATAAAAATCTACCCAAATAAAAATAAAATCTAAAGAAAATTTTTTTTAAAAATTTTACATTTTTAAAAATATATATTTTTTAAATATGTTCTTTTTAGATTTTTTTAACATTTTAAAAAAAAATAATTTTAACATTTTTTTTTTATATATTTTTTAAATGCATTTTCCCAAAAATGTAGATTTTTTATTTTTTTTTTTTATACAAATATTTGAAAATTTTTTTTTAAAAATTTTTTTTATATATTTTTATAGTTTTGTAATAAAAAAAATTTAACATCAGTTTATTGCCCAAAAATTTTTGGGATTTTTAAATATATGTCAATATTATATTTAATAATTAGTTAATGATATATTTAAATATATTTTTAATTTCATATTTTATGGGGAGGACCATGTGCTGCATGTACTATGCTGCTATTCCAGTTTTCCAT